CCCCCCCCCCCCCCCCCCCCCAAAAAAAAACAATGTGTTAGAAAGGAGGTATGACACATGAAAATAAAAGTTGTGCAGTACAGAGAGACATCCATTCCTGATGATTCCTGTACGTGTGCTCTTTGGGCCAGATGGAGCTGTCCGATTTAGCCTCCCATGCTGGTCTCACTGTGGCCAACCTAGTCCAGAAAGGACAGGAGCTGGTTGAGAAGCTCCACATCATAAAGGTGGACCGCCAAGAGTTTGCCTGCATCAAGTTCATCATTCTCTTTAACCCAGGTTAGTGACAGCAGTTGCTTTTTGTCTATAAAGCTTAATACGGGCTAAAAAGTCCTGAAGTGCCACACTGATTTGACGGATTCTTGGTGAATTATTTCATAAGTGTGTTTTTAACCGACGTACCTTTCCAGCCCAGTCACTTTTAAAGAATGTCGTCATTGTGAATTTCTGAAAAACCACAGCATACGTTGACTATAAACGCCTTTGCATTCGGTCTGAGCAAGTGACGTAGTATATTGAGCAACCGTGAAAATGATGTGTTATAATAACGAGTAACAAACTAGGAAGTCCAGTAAGACCGGAATCATTTGAGGAACTGTACCTGCATTTCGACGAGTGGAATCAAGGTCTAAATGTTGTTCCTCAGCCAGAGCTCCTGGTGTCTAAAAAGTCCCTCCTCTAGGGGTATTCCCTTCTGATGTCCCAGGAACCATGGAGAGGGAATCTGCTGTACTAAACTTGTGCACAGAGTCACTGACAATGTGATACCAAGTGGTAACAACATGCGATATGTTTCAACAAATAGCTAAAAGAAAAAACAGCTATCTTGAGAACTCGAAGGGAACTTGATGTGGTTCCAGGGGTTTTATTATCAAGTTAACTGTCTATGATCCCAGTTAGAGAAAGAAGAAGAATTATTAACCAAGTGTGGTGCTTCTACAGTTCTCTCCACTCCATGATGTTTGACAAGCTTTGCTCTATGCACATTCATTGGCTGTTGCTTTCCCTTCCCGCCCCACTGACCAGATGTAAAGCAGCTTGAGGACCATCAGTTCATAGAGAGCGTGCAGGAGCAGGCTGAAGTAGCCCTGCTGGAGTACACGCTGTGCACCTCTTCTCACCTTCTCGGACGCTTTGCTCATCTGCTGCTTTGTCTGTCCGAGCTACGCTCTCTCAGCACCCTCGCTGAAGACTACCTGTACGGCAAACACCTGAGTGGTGAGGTGCTGTGCAACAACCTGCTCATTGAGATGCTCCGTGCCAAGCGCAGCTGGTCATGAAGGCTCAGGGACTCGGTGAATGTCTGCACACGTTAGCGTACGGAGGCATTAAGCTGTGCTCAATGTCTAATACAATGAAATTATCCCTGATGTTGTTCTCTGCTTTAAAACTGAATTTCGGCATTTATATATACAATGAAATAATATTGTAAATGAGACTTTTATCCAGTGAAATGTCTAATGAGCTTGAAGGAGCAATCTGACAGTTTGGCAAATGGGCCTGCTTGAAGTAAGATTGATAAAAGCTTAACGTCATCTTGTACAGAGATAGGCTGGGAATGTGTCTAACTTGGTGAAGCACCAAGACTTGAGGACTGCTAGTCTTCAGCATAAGAGAAATACAAAGCCAAAGCACTGCATTAGTTTCAGCCCATTCTTCTCTGTGTCGCTGGGTCAGATCTGGGGGCGGAACCGAGCACTGTGCATAATTACACAGTGACTTTCCTAATACTATCACCAGCTGGTATCAATGTATGTACAGTAATATTTAGAGACCAGCCTATTCAATTACATCTGGAACCAAAAGTTATGTCTTAAAAGTCTTTGACTCGCTATAACATCCCTCTTAGCCAAAACTGACATATCGTCACCACTTATGGTGGTATGGTAAACTTGTAAGCAAACAGTTTCCTATTTAGACATTAAGCAGACACAGAGCAACATTATCATTTATTGGGGCCCGAGTACCGACGGCAGCAATGTAATGTCCGATATTCCTGAAAATGCACAGCCATGTGAGCTGACGTCATACAACAGCACCACAGCTGCCACTCCCCACAAATCACGCGAGTGTGCGAGGGCCGGATCATCACTGCTTGCAGCTTTAATTTGGATTTGTGCGTGTTTCTGGCCATCACTCATGGGATCCATTGTTGATATAAAGATATTAATTATAAGTGTGCCATTATAAAGTGCCCTCTCTTTCTGCTTTTTCCAACCCATGATAAAATTCTGCTTATATTGAATTGATATTATTGACATAACAAAATGTTGTTTTCATGAGGGCACAATTACATTGCATTACATGTCTACATGTAAAACTTTAGCCTGACATGTGTTGTATTATTAAAACCTTCGGTGTCTAGAATAGAACTTTAAATGGGGGACAATGCCTGGCTACACAACTTGAGTTCTGCAGCGATGAAGAGGTCCCTCATGCTGAGGTCCATATGTGCAGCATAAACACAAACTTTAGTCATCACAACACATAACACGTTCCTTAGGAATATACATACTGTGATACATGAAGCCAGTTATTTAGGCCTATTTAGGATAATGTACTGGAACATGATGGGAGTGTATGATGAGAAAACAGACACACACTTTCTGCTGGTTAAAGTCAGGGCACATTAAACCTTTGTTATCGGTCACTGAGATCCCACCGATTACACCTTCAACCACCTGTTTTGGCCACTCTGCTTTAATAAAAGGCTTAATCAACATAATGCACTCATCTTATTGTGGAGGCGCACTATCTGATCCCGTCCACCTCATGGGATCCCATTTCCTGCTCGACCTTGACATCCAGCTGGCATCAAGTTGGCATCCGTCCTGTTCAAGGACAAAACATGGCAGCATGATTAAAAATACACAGTGTTACAGGCCAAGAAGAGACCTTCTGTTGGGACGAAACACAATCTGATTTATCAGGACAGACTAACTTTTTACAATAAATAAAAAATAAAATTAGCTAAAAAAGTAGTCCCACACTTATTGAAGTAAATTAAGTAAGGGAATTTACTGCATAAATATACTTTTTTAAATGTCTGACTATGCTTATCTGTGACTTGTAGGAAACTGAGTAGAGGGTACAGGTAATCAGTGAATTATAGTTAGTTAATAGAGTTTATTGCCTCAATACAGCCAAGTTCATATGTATCTAATACTTCAAGAAAATGTAATTGATGGCTTGGTTCATTTAAATTTCTTTGCTTTTGATTTGTGGTTACATTTTAATATCATCCTTGTGCTATGCTGGTGAATTCATGTATTTATGTTATTACATAATAATAATATAATAAAAAGAAGGTTGCTTCTAAATGCTTAAAGAATAGAACAAAACACAAACTGTCTTTTAGAAGAGCTCCAACTTTATTGAAGAGTTGGTTCACACAAATTACAAGCAAATCAAAATGTTCTCACTTTCCTGTAGCAGCTCTCCATGCAGATACGTTGTTAGTTGTTGCATATTGTGCATGTCTGTATATACTTTACAAATTACTTTATATGATTTCAAGTCTTACTGTTCTCTTGTTGCACTACAAAAGAACTACGGAACTACTTCTTTCTGTTATAGCATTGATGAAAGTAATATTATATTTATCATCTATACTTTTATATTTTCACATTCAATACAAAGGGGCATATGAAATTTTTTTTTGTAAAACGATGAAAAATACATTTCTGTAATTGTTTTTAGTTGATAAGTATTCTGCATATTTGCACACTGTCTTAAATGAATGTCCTCTGTTCAGGCTTGTTAATTCTCACTACACCACTCATATCACATATGCTCAATGGATTTCAAATCCAACACCTTTTGATCTCAGCTTCATGGGTGTTTTTGAGGCTTAATGATGCTCGGCGCTGCAGGTGTCACTGTTGAAACAAATTTAATCTGAATTTCAATGATGGATTTTTTCCAAAGAATATTTTCTTCATAAATAATCATGAGATTGGGTAATGGTTTATTTAAACCAATGACTCTTTTTCTACATTCCTTTCTCCCTCTTGCCTTTGCCTCTATGGTCCATTCAGAGCAACAAAGAGGTGAACAAGATGGCAAAGGAAGCTGTTCAAGATAGATATATAGAGGTAAACATCTATCTAAATCAGAAGGAAAGAACAAAAAATGATTCTAGAATATGGAAAATGAATAAAATGGCAGTTTGACTTGTCGAGAGACGCCGGTCTAGTAGAAAAGGATCCACAATCTAGATGTCACTCGAGTTCCAGAGGGGGCCAGCAATGCAACATAAAGGATGACAGCTGCCGGTAAACCCCCGAAGAAGAGAAGAAGCAGACCAGAGAGCCACTTCCTCTACTTCCGGGAAACACAATCCTCAATTCACCAAGATGGCGACATTAGTAGTAAGCCAGTCACCGGTCGGGGGTTTCAGTTTCGAAAACTGCAAGAGGTAAGCGCTTTTCAATGGATGGAAATCAGATCAGAATAACCACATTACTGCGTTTAATAAGCTGTTACCCCTTTTATTAAGACGTCGAGTAGAATAGACGTGTTTTTGATGCGGGTTTCTCAGTGATGCTAGCTCATGTTAACTTGGCTTCCATACAATGACTCAGGCATTTCCCACACGCTAGTTTTAACGTTAATGTTCACCTATCAAGCTAACGTTACACGTGTTATGGTTGCTCAAGTATATAACCTGGGTCTTACAAGAAATACATATATCACGGTGGAATGTTTCTTAACCACGATATTCAGCCCGATATCTGCGTAGATAACGTTAGCCGAGTACGGCAACTTTAAACTGACGTTAGCTAACGTCCGTTTATAAAGCAAATACTGGAGACGTAACGCTACTGGAGCTGACGTTACTGTGTATGTAATGTTAATGCTGTCCATGTTAGTGCAATGCTCAGGTTATAAAGGTGTGTTTGTACTGAACAACGGTGCTGTTAGTGAACCCCAGATGGAGAAATTATGAAAGTCGTTATCATCCCACTCTAGTTCCAGTAATATAATCTAACCGTATTCATTGATGTATATAGATTTTATTTCGACATGTCAGAAGCTAACCCTGAGATTTTTCCATAGTGACGGATCTGTTGTTGACATCCTGTTTATGTGACTTGTCATTGTGTTTTGGCCTGATTGTAGTCAGAGCCTGTATCACAACCACACGACATGGAACAATGATGCTCTCTATGCAGTAAGAAACAATAATAGACATCTCAAGGGTTCAGGCAGAAATATAGCGAAACATGTTCAGCACCCCAGACAGTCATACAATTAACATATTTATTTAAGACTTGCTGAATAGTTTTTATCTACTGTGTACTGAAAGTTGTATTTGTGAATGTGAAATTTAGCTAGAATGCTAAGATTTATATTATAATTCTGTTGTGCTGTGAACTGCAGACATAAAACCAAACGACACATTTTGTGTATGTGAAACAAAAATGTCACAACAAATATATTGGAAAAATTTGTTGCCAAAAATATGAGTAAGGACGGCTCCAAAACAAACCTACCATTTGGTAGAGATCTAGAACATTCCCGTGTCAGGGAGTTGATAAGCGGTCATGGCCTCACTGCTCAACATTTAGTTTTGAATAAAATTGTAGCCTCGGGTTATTAACATTTATTATTAGGCTGCCAGCGTTTTCTTTACACTGACAGAGATATTACATTTATTTTCAGAAATGCAGTTTTGGAAAGTGAAGCAAACAAAGTGGGATGCAGCTTGCCTGCTGCTCGGAAAACAGGGACTACCATCTGTGGTGTTGTCTTCAAGGTGAGTGGCAGATAGCAGGTCGCTTCAAAAATCAGAATGAATGAGAATTCAAACCTACAATATTCTAGCACACTGAAGTAAATCAAGTTAACACACAGGGTTATCACCCTGTGTGTTAACTTGATTTAATATAAGACAGGGGTATTCAATTAAAATTCCAAAAGGTCCAGATTGAGAATATGTATGTATGTATGTATGTATGAATGAATGAATGAATGTATGTTCTCATTTCCAGTAAAATAATGGCTGGAGTAAAGAATAACTGACATAACAAAGCTTTTCAAAAATGTGCATCTTAAAATAAAGTAATTCCCATCCATCCATTTTCCTCCGCTTATCCGGGGTCGGATCGTGGTGGTAACAGGCCAAGCAGGCTGACCCAGACTTCCCTCTCACCGGCAACATGTTCCAGCTCATTCTGGGGGATCCCGAGGCGTTCCCAGGCCAGCTGGGAGATGTAATCCCTCCAGCGTGTTCTGGGTCTTCCCCGGGGTCTCTTCCCAGTTGGACGTGCCTGGAAAACCTCCAGTGGGAGGCGTCCAGGAGGCATCCTAATTAGATGCCCGAACCACCTCAGCTGACTCCTTTCGACGCAAAGGAGTAGCGGCTCGACTCCAAGCTCCCTCCTGATGACCGAGCTCCTTAACCTATCTCTAAGGCTGAGCCCGGCCACCCTACGGAGGAAGCTCATTTCGGCCGCTTGTAGCCGCGACCTTGTCCTTTTGGTCACGACCCAGAGTTCGTGACCATAGGTGAGGGTAGGAACGTAGACCGAGTGGTAAATTGAGAGCTTTGCCTTCCGGCTCAGCTCCCTCTTCACCAAGACGGTCCGGTGCAGCGTCTGCTTTACTGTTGCAGCCGCACCGATCCGTCTGTCGATCTCCCGCTCCATCTTACCCTCACTCGTGAACAAGACCCCGAGATACTTGAACTCCTTCGCTTGAGGTAGGCACTCCGTCCCCACCTGGAGGGAGCAATCCACCGGTTTCCGGCAGAGCACCATGGCCTCAGATTTGTAGGTGCTAACTCTCATCCCCGCCGCTTCACACTCGGCTGCAAACCGTCCCCGAGACCCCCGAACCTGACGTTCTCCACCCCCCGGCTGCGCCTAGATATCCTGTCCATGAAAGTCACGAACAGGACCGGAGACAAAGGGCAGCCCTGGCGGAGGCCAACACCCACCGGGAACGTGTCTGACTTATTGCTGAGAATGCGGACACAGCTCCTACTGCAGTCGTACAGAGACTGGATCGCCCGTTGTAATGGGTCCGGCACCCCATACTCCCGCAGCACCCCCCACAAGAACCCCCGAGGGACCCGGTCGAAAGCCTTCTCCAAGTCCACAAAGCACATGTAGACTGGTTGGGCAAACTCCCAGAACCCCTCCAGTAGTCTTGCGAGGGTAAAGAGCTGGTCCACTGTTCCACGCCGGGACGGAATCCGCATTGCTCCTCTTGAATCTGAGGTTCGACAAGTGGTCGGAGCCTCCTTTCCAGCACCCTGGCTAAGCCTTCCCCGGGACGCTGAGTAGTGTGATACCCCGGTTATTCCAGCACACTCTCCGGTCCCCCTTTTTGAAAATGGGAACCACCACCCCGGTCTGCCAGTCCATGGGCACTGATCCCGACCCCCATGCGAAATTGAAGAGGCGTGTCAGCCAGGACAGCCCAACTATGTCCAGCGCCTTCAGCATCTCAGGGCGGATCTCATCCACCCCCGGTGCCTTGCCACCGAGGAGCTTTTTGACTACCTCAGCGGCCTCTGCCAGGGATATGGGTGAGCCTCCCCCTAGATCTTCAGGCGCTGCCTCCTCTGCAGAGGACATGTTGGCCGGGTTTAGGAGTTCTTCAAAGTGGTCTTTCCACCGCCCGACAATGTCCCCTGTCCGGGTCAGCAGTCCTGGGAGTTCTTCCGGAGGTGGGAAGACCTCCCGGACAGGGTCCTCCGCCAGACGTTCCCAGTTCACCCTCACTACACGTTTGGGCTTGCCGGGTCTTTCCAACCGGTTCCTCTGCCATCTGATCCAACTCACCACCAGGTGGTGATCAGTTGACAGCTCTGCTCCTCTCTTCACCCGAGTGTCCAAAACATACGGACGCAAATCAAATGATACGATTACAAAGTCGATCATTGATCTCCAGCCTAAGGTGTTCTGGTACCAGGTACACTTATGAGCCACCTTATGTTCGAACATGGTGTTCGTTATGGCCAAACCGTGGGACGCACAGAAGTCCAATAACAAAACACCATTCGGGTTCAGATCGGGCAAGCCGTTCCTCCCAATCACCCCCCGCCAGGTTTCTCCGTCATTGCCCATGTGAGCGTTGAAGTCCCCCAGGAGAACTATGGAGTCGGTAGGCGGCGCCCTTTCCAGGACCCCTCCCACCGACTCCAAGAAGGCCAGATACTCCGAACTGCTGTTTGGTGCATAAGCACAAACCACAGTCAGAGCCTTGCTCCCCGCAACCCGTAGGCGCATGGAGGCGACCCTCTCGTTCTCCGGGGAGAACTCCAACACAGCGGTGCTCAGCCGGGGGCTCGTGAGTATCCCCACTCCCGCCCGGCGCCTCTCACCCTGGGCAACTCCGGAAAAGGATAAAGTCCAACCCCTCTCCAGGAGCTTGGTTCCAGAGCCAGCGCTGTGTGTGGAGGTGAGTCCAACTATATCTAGCTGGTACCGCTCCACCTCCTGCACCAGCTCCAGCTCTTTCCCCGCTAGTGAGGTGACGTTCCACGTCCCTAGAGCTAGTCTATGCTGCCGGCGATCGGCTCGCCCAGGCCTCCCGCCTGACCCGCCGCCCAGTCTGCATTGCACCCGACCCCGATGCTTATCCCTGCGGGTGGTGGGTCCACAGGGTGATATAGTAAGTCATTTTAGAAAAATTAATTTCACTGAATTGTCCTGCAGATTTAAATTCAATTCATTCAGGTGTGAAGTGATGTCAATAAAAACAGCCACAATATTATATTTTTCTCATCTTCTAAAAAGAGAAATCAGTGAGCATGATCTTTATCTGTGGTTATTAAACCACTTGTTTCAGCTCTATTCTCTCTGTTAACATCATTGTTGGGCAGTGAATTCATGTGTTAGGATTCTGATCATTTTGGACTCTTAGGTTTATTTTTTGTGTCTTCATTTAGATGTGAGTGGGTACGTTTGCTCAAAAGAGTTGTGCTTTGTCTCGTAGTGTTGCTTCATATTACCGCTTTTAATAATCGTCTTGTCTCTGAACATATGAGACACACTGGTTATAAACTGTCCGTGTGAAGAATAAAATTATAAGAGCCTGTTCATTCTTGGTTAAAGACTCTGGTCTCTTTGACCACTTTTCTTTTTTTGGAGAACGTCATGTGAAATAACTGCTCTGACTCACGTATTAGTCTCCTGCTCTTCCTTCTCTTCCCTCGTCTCTCCCCCGGTGTGTGTACATATCACTCGAATCAGGAAACTTGTCAGAATACCCATATTTGATTGGCTGA